TAATGACCACCTTCAGATAAACTTAAGACAGGCTGGGGCTCCCTCCTGCAACCGCACGCAAATTGCATTAGTGTAGCCTGAGCTATGCGGCCATAGCTACAGAAGGACCAATCCAATACAGGATTAACCTTGGGCTGCCGTATGTCACTTCTTCTCCCTATATCTATGCCAGCATAAGATATATATCCAGGGAAAAATAAAAATGCTGCACAAGACTAGGACCTGGCAATCTTCAAACCTGGTAACAGAGACTACCATTTGAATCTGTCATGAAAAGATAATGCTATTACAGACGCAAAGGTCCCATGGTGCAACAGAGTACCAAACAGTTACTAAACTTTTGAACACAGAATTACACCAGCGTGCCTGTAGATAAGATCTTTCTCCTTCAACTGCACTGGATCCCTCCAGTGAAGAGGGACTGGTGGGATCTCAATCCCACCCTGTTGAGAAGACGACAATGTGACCTTTACAGGATTTTAAACCAAGACAGGTTATATCCAAGGTAAGATTGAGACCCCTTTCACCTCCGCTACCCCTGCACGTCCTCCCTGCTCTCCAGTCTATATGCGCAGTAACTCATTTCTTCAAGATTTTATTGGAAGGAGGAAGGATCAATGCCAGCTGAGGGGATGACATGGGACAAAAGGCCTACCTCTTTTTTTCTTCCTTTCTAGCGGAGCCAACAGACTGTGCAAGTAGCACCACTCCTGTTCTGAGGGAAGCAGAGACAGAATGCCGTGTGACCCCAGCTGGGTCACAGAGTGTAGCATAAAGCAGGGCACATGACCACTATTGCAGACGTTGCAGTAGCATCAGCAGTACAATTCAGTATTGCTTCATCTGACGTACAACGTTAACAGAAACTAGCAATGAGTTATATACCATTTCCTCAGTAATCTGACTGGTAGCAACAACGAGGATAAGTATCCCCATGTTATTTCCGTTTGCTAGAGGGGAAAAAAAGTAAGAGGCCACAGCAAGAACAAGATCAGGGACTTCAAAGTAACTTCTTTGTTGGGGAGGGTGAAGAGGGGAAAGGGCAAACAAAACCACCCACACCTTTATGGAATTGCACCAAGCGCTCCTCAGCCACAATTCATCATCATTGCCCATCATCATTAGTATATTCTGATACTAACATTTATACTCTTTCTACAGCTAAACAGAATGATCCTATTTATATATATACGCTGAAGTACATCTATTCAGTAGGAGAGTATAGTAGACAGGGGGCAAATATCTCATTACAAACAACAGTGCAACACATGGTTACTGCAACTGCAGTGTACTGCACTAAGGAATCTATCTTCATCATGTATTATCTCCATTTTGTAACAGATATGACAACCATGACATCTTTTCTTCCAGAATATTGGTTTCTGGCCACAATTCACTTTCAGCATATATTCCAGGACAGGGCCATGTTATTGGCTGGTGGGGAGAACTCCTACAAATGCTCTTTTATAGCCTTAGTGACAGAAAATTCTGTTCATTGAGATTTTACGGATACTGAAACAAGAAACAAATAGCCTCAAATTAGAAACAGCAAAACTGTAAAATTATTAAAGGAACAAGTATCAGCATCTAGTCAGTAATAACAGATCTTTTGGAGTACAGTTTCCTTTTTACACTAATGCCTCAGCCCTTTCATCTGTCATCTTTTAGGCCAAAAAAAAAAAAAAAAAACCACACACCCCCAAAACCCAACCAAACAAAAACCCCCAAACATCTCCAGCTCCTGGCACTTTCGGTCAAACTAGGAAAGTCCTAAAAGAACAAAAAAAATGTACACGTCTCTACTTCTGGCAGAGGTCAAAATGCTAGTAAGGTCAAACATGGGCAATCTGGATTCCAAAACGATGAAATAAGCAATAAAACACGGGAAAAAAAAAAAAGAATAAGAAGTGGCTCTAGGAAGCAGAGGCTATGCCGCACACAAAAAAGTAACACCTAAAATGATGTCAAAAGAGCTCAAGACAATAGGAATTCTCACCTTCAACCAACTCTAAAAACAGGACAGAATGATACAGTTCACAATGTCCTGCTTCATGGGTATGTTTATTACTTGGTCTTTCATAAGGAAAAAAAGATGAAAAAGTGACTGCTTTCGCACAAGCGGTCCGGTAATGGGAAGCATAAAACAAACAACTGCCAGTAACTGGTGTTGTCGAATGCACCCACATACGCATATCTAAGCTTTGCCACAAGCACTCAAAACTTCTGTGCAAGTACAACACGTACTCATTCTCATCCCAAGAAAACACAGTTTATAAAGGTGGTTTGTGCAAAGTATTCTCAAGCTCCTCGCAACCAGTAATTCAGAAAAGGAAAAGAAAAATGACTGTAAATAGGAAGTCAGCGTGCACGTGGGTAAAATGTCTGTAAGAATTCCAGTTACTAGGAACTATCTTTCTACCTGTGAAAGACAGTCTATATGTCCATTCATGCTTTAGTAACTCCAAGTAGTACCCCGCACAATCAAGATATCTCCAGGTTACTTGGGGCGTCTTTAACACAAACAATAAATTCAGGGTTTTTTCTAAACCGAAAATTCTACTACTAATCCTACTGACTTTGCAGCAGTGCAGCTCTCCATGAGAATCTGAAATAAGTAGTGCCTGGCTGCAGATTTTAGGGAAAGCATTCCTTAACATAGCCACCACCGTAATCTAATGGAACATACTCTGGTGGACTGCACTCCTATCACAAGCGGTGGATCCATCTCGAGAGTCTCGTAACAGTTTCTAAGAAAAGGTTTTGAAAGTCTCAGCATACTCATGGTAGCACCTCAGACCTCCTTGAATGGAAATGACCACCTCTGGGTATCGTTTGAAAGGCCTAATCCCATGAAGATGACAGAGCCCTTTTAAGTCATGACAGGGACCAACGCTTTTTTCATTACGATGCAAGGTTTAAAACAATCTCCCAGTTTAAATGGAACTTAGTTCATGGAAATGCCTGGAATGGTCCTAAAGAACTTCCCCTTCTCCAAAGGAAAAAAAAAAAACAGTGGGGAACAATCTCCTGAAAAAGACAGCATCTTGCTATCCTTCTATCCAAAGGAATGGTTATTCATACCAATTAACTTCCTCCTAATCTTACAGCCTTCCAGTATTCTTCAAAATTTGTCTCCTTGCCTCGAGCAACATGGAACATTTTTGCTTGTATTCAAAATATAACCACAGAAGATCCTCAGACCCTGACTACAACGTCAGGGACGCTGGATCACTGCCCCCCCACGTCTCTGGGCCTGAAATTATCTGCCAGTGCTTTCAGCCATTAGGGTCTGGTTGCTCGCCAACTTCAGCTGAAAAGTGACAAAGGAGCAGGCAAACAGACCTTGATGTCCAGCTTTTTCAGAAGCAGCTATCACTGCTAGGAAGCACAAAGCTGGATGTGTGCAAAGGAGTTTTTGTTTAAGGGCCATCTGGCATTTATAATCACTCCTGTGGATGTAAGAAGCTAGCAATACAAGAGGCTACCACAACCCTTCCACAAGTTTTAGCATCACCTCATTCATAGTTAAAGGGCTCAAAATTGGAATCGGCTGGATATCCCATTTGCACTTAAACTTGTCAGATTCTTCTCTAGGAATTCCGGGACATGACTTAACTTGTAGTACTAAGTCAAGAACGATCCACAGTCCTTCGCCCTGACAGCCTAGAAGTGCTGAAGGTTCCCGAAACAGGGACATAAAACCTCACAGATACAGTGAGTACAGAAGTGCATCAGTGAACCAAGAGTAACTCATTTTGAGTGTACTGAAGGGCCGTGACAACGGTTAAACTGAATCCTCTTACTATTTCTCCCTACCTGCAGGGAAAGGAACGTTATTCTACCACCAAGAGCGTGCCAAGACTCGTCTACTGGGACTCTGCAGCGTTTGCAATGGGAACAGTGGAGCATACTCCTTGTGGCAACAGAATAAGAATTTCAGCTTCCAGATGACCTGAGGCAAAACCGGTTCCTACCTCCTAACTGAAGAGCTCTGGAAAAAAACATATCTGGAACTCAAGTTTGCCCTCCTCTCAGCCCTATCAACTTCATCTGATACTTGGATCACAGCCAAGATGCAGTCCTCCACTTTGGTGCTAAAAAGTCATAACCCTGACACGGATGGAGAATAATTCAAAACCAAGGAATCTTGAAACAGTAGATGACCAAGGATTTCTAGACAGGTTAACACCAGAGATCTGGGTGTCAGGGGCACCTACAGAGTTGGTACCATGAGACAAAATCCCTCAAGGAACCCTCTGACACAGCCCCAGTGAAAGTGGCATCTTGCATCACTACTCTTCTAGTCCCTGGAGAGATTATACTTTTGGTCCAAAGACAAGGCCACATTTTAAGGCTCTTGCAAGTCTTTTAAAGCACATCAGATAAAGGTAAGCACTGTCGTAAGACTCACACAAATGCAAGCCAACTAGCCGTAAGTCAGCATTATTTTGCCCAATCCAGCATTAATTTTCCAAAATAAAAGGGTGGGAAGGACATACATGCCTTAACTTATTTGGCTAGTTCAGAGGACCACCAAACATCACACAACAAAAAAGCAAGTGACCTAGAAATAAAAGAGAGATCAAAGGACGGCAAAGAGAAACTCTGAAGAAAAAAAACTAATCAAGCTAAGACAACAGCAAATGAACGTTCCCTCAGGAGGGCTGAAACGCAGAAGTAACCTTGAATTTGTGCATCAACAGACGGACTGCTTACATCAGAACACATCTTATGGACATGTGGATTCCCCCCTCTCCAGGAAAAACAGATACGGAGTGAAATGCTTATTAGGGTCATACAAAATTTACGCCTTACCTCTCCATAGATTCTGAAAGTGCCAGTATCTTCCTCAAGTTCAATTGCGGTAACGCCTGGAACCTTTCTAGCTTGTTGTATGTTACTGCCATGTGTTCCTATAGCGAGTCCCATTAAATCTTCTCTGACTATAAATTCCTCATGAAATGCTGCAGCAAGCTGTTTCGTGCACTGAAGGGAAAACAAAATAAGGCTCATCCACTTGTATTCCATGTAAAGTTCAGTGATGTGCTCACTCTCAAGCAACAAATTCCAAGTTAGGGCTTACTTCTAAGTGTTTTGTAGCTTCTTCATTTCTTGACATGAGCATAAGTTTGGTACGAATGCTGCGCAAATGCATGTCGCTCAATATATTCACTCTCTTCACTGTTGCTTCGCTGGCAGACTACGCAAGACAAAAAGGACAAAAAGTTTCATTGTTAAGATCATCTACACTGAAAGGATAAAATCAGGAACCTACTCCTGTTTACAATTTAGTTTAGACGATGATCTCAACTTCAGGAACTCACACGGACATTATTCTTCCTCAAAATACGGCGTGAAAGATTCAGCACTACCTTGCAAAGTAGCAATTCTCTATTCTCATTCACAGCATATTTTACCCATATTTTACTTCTGCTACCAGATCTACACATGAACTCTTTCACTGTGATGTTCCCAGGACAACCAACTGTGATTT